AATAATCTCAAACAAACACACACCCAAAAAAAGGTTAATAAGTATTTTAGCACTCTGGGAATCAGCTCTTGACAATGGACCGGGTTAAATTTTGGTGTATCCCGAAAGCTCTAATTGACTCTAATTCCAAGAAAAAAGAAAAACAAAGAAAATGAAAAAACAAAGACAACACAAATGAGAAAACACAAATAAAACAAGAAAATTGAAAGGCAGCAAAGAAAACAAAAGAAAGAAAACAAAAAAACGAACACAAAAATGAAAACAACAAAGAACACTGAAAAATATAGAGGTTACAGCTAGATACAGAGAGAAATAAGCTAGAAAATAGGTAAAAACTTTACCAACAGCCAATTTGGCAGCGATTTTGGCAATTTAACAATTAAAGTAAAAAGAAAAATTTCAATGGTAACTGAAATCCTCAATCCCTAGATCCTAGTTAACTTGTCAAAGATACCACAATCACTTGCCAACATCCTCTGTTAATGCTTAAAGATATACATGTATGTACATGTAAATATTCATTTTGGCAGCCATTTTGGTGACCATTTTGGATTTTAATATGAGGAAAGGTTAAGCTGACTTTGGTAAAGGCTATATTGAAACCATTTTCCCCTGAAACCTAGTTTCAGATATCAATTACGTACATTATATTTCCAACTTTTCTATGTGTGTATAAATTCATTTTAGCAGCCATATGTATGGCCATTTTGGCACTCATTTTGGTGGCCATCTTGGAATTTCATATAAAGGATTTCTATCATTACTTAAATTTAGACACAAATAAAATCCTCAGCCTCTAAAACCTATTCATGGTCTCCAAAGTCACTTCTTAACCGTTCTTTGAGCTTTTTTTTAATTAATTAATTAATTTTGTAGACCATGAAAGTGTTAGGGGATCAATGATTTTATTGTCTAAGTCATCAAAGAATAACTTGATGTGGAAATCGAAGATGGCTGCCAAAATGAATATGTTACTATTAATATGTGTTCAAAGTGATTTTGGAGACCATGTCTAGGTTTCAATGGTCGAGAACTTTAATTATGTCTAAAACTTAGTCATCAAATAATTCTTTTATTTGGATATTCAGGATGGCAACCACATTGGCTGCCAAAAGAATAAGTAATTTTGGAATACATTTATTTGAATATCCAAGATGGCCCTGGTGGAATGTACCATCTCAATTGTACCCTCTTCATCGCAGCAATGAACTGGATTGTGAAAGCATAAGAGTCCAAGTAAAGAGGTCTCAAAGTGAATGATGACACAAAACATCCTTCTTGCCAAGCCTATATGGACATCATCACTGTTATGACTTAGTCATTCCCTGGAGCACAACAGATTCTAAGCTGCCTCGAGATGATGGCCAATCCAAGGAATCTTTTCAGCTGAGTGGTATACAAAGGCAGCTAATGTGCAATTATTCATACTATCCATGATGAGATAATTGAATATCTAGGGAAATATTTTGACGAGTTTCTTAAAGATATCAACAGCATCTGTGAGAACTAGAAAAATGAATGAAAGAAATTGACCTTAGCCATGTAGGGAGTTGGTTCAAAGTCTCATGCTTTCAGTTTGGTGTTATTCTCCTATGACTTTTCCAACTATGTAACTTCCATTACAACAACAGAGGCTGAGGAGAAAGAGCAACATCAACAGAGTAAGAAGGTGTGACTTGCAAAGGTTACCCGGGAGTAGATAGGCAACTTTGGTTCCAATAATCTCAAACAAACACACACCCAAAAAAAGGTTAATAAGTATTTTAGCACTCTGGGAATCAGCTCTTGACAATGGACCGGGTTAAATTTTGGTGTATCCCGAAAGCTCTAATTGACTCTAATTCCAAGAAAAAAGAAAAACAAAGAAAATGAAAAAACAAAGACAACACAAATGAGAAAACACAAATAAAACAAGAAAATTGAAAGGCAGCAAAGAAAACAAAAGAAAGAAAACAAAAAAACGAACACAAAAATGAAAACAACAAAGAACACTGAAAAATATAGAGGTTACAGCTAGATACAGAGAGAAATAAGCTAGAAAATAGGTAAAAACTTTACCAACAGCCAATTTGGCAGCGATTTTGGCAATTTAACAATTAAAGTAAAAAGAAAAATTTCAATGGTAACTGAAATCCTCAATCCCTAGATCCTAGTTAACTTGTCAAAGATACCACAATCACTTGCCAACATCCTCTGTTAATGCTTAAAGATATACATGTATGTACATGTAAATATTCATTTTGGCAGCCATTTTGGTGACCATTTTGGATTTTAATATGAGGAAAGGTTAAGCTGACTTTGGTAAAGGCTATATTGAAACCATTTTCCCCTGAAACCTAGTTTCAGATATCAATTACGTACATTATATTTCCAACTTTTCTATGTGTGTATAAATTCATTTTAGCAGCCATATGTATGGCCATTTTGGCACTCATTTTGGTGGCCATCTTGGAATTTCATATAAAGGATTTCTATCATTACTTAAATTTAGACACAAATAAAATCCTCAGCCTCTAAAACCTATTCATGGTCTCCAAAGTCACTTCTTAACCGTTCTTTGAGCTTTTTTTTAGCTTGTATCAATAGTAACATATTTGTTTTGAGACCCATTTTGGTGGCCATCTTGATTTTCCATATAACGCAATTTTTTGATGACTTAGATTTTGACATAAATGAAATCCTTGACCCCTAAAACCCTAAAATAGACTTCAAAACCACTGTTTTTGCCTCTCATTATACTAAAATATGATTTCTTTTATTTGGTTAAAAGCGCAATAGCAGCCATTTTGAAAAATGAGCGATAACACCCATAAGCTACCACTCCTGCAATGCTATCACATATTTTCTTACTCTGGAGGTATTTACCTTGCCAAAAATCACTATGAGCATTATTCCCCTAACTTGGTACCGATAACCTAAATTTTGGGGTGAAGCTGATGGCCTATATCATTCTCTAACTTTTCTTAAGACATTCAAAATGGCTGCCATGACTAAGCTGACAGGTCCAAAACATAATCAGATGTAGAATGAAGTGAGCTGGACAAGATTTTAAAGCAACTGTAAAGCCATTTTTTCTTAAAGTTTGCAGACAAGGATTTCAGCATTTGACTTCAAAATGGCTGACAGGAAGTAGGTATCGCATCTGTATGTGCTCATAAGTTATCCATGAAAATTTGAAGATGGTATCTCTAGCGGTTTAGGAGAAAACTGTCGGACATACAGACAGACAGACAAATAGACGCGTCTAGGCCGACAATATGGCCCCACACTATGTGGTGGGGACATAACAAAACAACAAAAGATAAGTTATGTTGAATTTGTACAATACAAAAGTTCCTTTTTATTATACTTCTGTACAGATATCTTACAAAGATGAACAATGGTTTCCCTTACATGAGAATTCAGGTTGGTCATATATATAAAGAAAACTATTGATTACAAGCATTTGCAAATGTGTCATGTTTGTGTGTAATTTCCCATAAATTCTGGGTGCCAATATTCCTTTACATCAAATAATTAGGAAGGGTGTATACAGGTATGACCAACATAAGACTTTTTGTAAGGGTGATGTGTTTTGTAATGATAAATAGACAAGCAAAATTGACTTCACAGTACTAACATTTACGGCTCAAAAATATCTAAACATTCTTTTGGTCAATAATACGGTAAAACTAGAAATTTCTGTATTCCATTAATAAGTTGGAGAAAATGTCTAGTTTTACAATAAATTGCGCAATAAAAACTGCACATGCAGAAGAATTATTTTCAAATGACTGATAAAACACAGGTCGTTCATAACATATGTTCTAATTGTATACTAAGAGAATGCCCGTCTTGTATTCAACTTGCCAAATGCCCACAATGTGACGACAACTAAAACATATCTAATATGTAGATTATAAAAAGAATTTCCATACAAGCAACAATTGACTGAAGCGACATCTATTAAAGATCACATGTGCATCAGATAAAACATTTTTGGCTTCTCCGTGGCAACTTATAATTCAAAATAACTAAGATTATTTCTAATATGAGTATTGCAGTGCAGTTTAAAACCCCACTTTCTCAGTCAACGTAATTAAAATATTTCATCATCTTAAATAGCCATACAGTATTTTAACAAATATATATCAAATTTAGTTCTATCTAATACTGTTACAGACAGTGCACAATACAACTTATGTTCTAAAATTGTCACGTATTCAAAATTCATTTGTTCATTATAGCAAACAATGCCGATTTGAAAATGTTCTTACATTGTGATAAATTACAACTTTGTACAAATCTAATAAATAATGTAAAATGCTGAACTATACAGACACGTTTCCCTTGTTCTCAATATACAGGGTGCCAGGTCTAGGTTTATGTATAAAGTAGACACCCTGTATTTGAACACATTTGCAATTATATATTTATTCAACTGTTCCATAAAACCCAAGGTAGGTCAAGGACTATTAAGAGGACACCCCTTAATATTTATGATACTTGAAATTTAATTGAAATATATGACGCATTGGCAATAAAAGCCTCTTAAAATAGATTTTGAATGAAATGAACAAATTATTAACAGAAGGGTATTAGTCAATTGAGTAAACGATCACATGACCTCCTTGGGGTTTAAAGAAAGTCTCATAATTTTATACAACACTGGTGTAAAATTATAAAGTTTCTCAAAATATTCAGTAGAAATGTTCGCTCAGACATTTAACCCAAAAACTGCAAAGGTTTGTAGTTTATTCAAACCGATTTTTAAGTTAAATGTATGACCAAGTCCTATTTCGACAATACATCATAATATCAAGAAGTAAAACTAAAATATAATTGTAACTCAACTCAACATAGGGCCTTTATTAGGCTGAGGAAAATGCATGTTTTAGTAACATCAGAGTGAATTTAACTAGATTTTCGATCCCTTCAGTGAATGGCAGTTTTTGTCAATAGCCTAATGTTTATAGCTAACCCAACTGTCCTCTGATAGCCTATTGTACAAGTCAAATGGGATAAAACAAGACAAACACAGTGATAAATATCACACTTGGAAAGCAAAATGGCCACCTCCAAACATCAGCACTTTTTGTCACTAACCTGTTTCATGTTGATAACCAAATGATAATGTTTTCTGATAGCTGATGATGACAATATCACTTTTCAAGTGCGATGGCTAAATAACTGTTCACATTTCAGGGAATTCACTGTAGAGAGGATTTATCTAGTACTTCAACTGCATAGGATTTGCCATTTCTCAGATAGCAGCTCTTGAAATTGAATTTACTAAACACAGATTTGTCACAACTAGGTCCACATACACTCACAATAATTATCAACATTGTTATCTTGCACTCATATATCTTATAACTGTCTGATATTCTCTCATTTTAATACAATTCACATAGTCAAGTACATCATATCTTTCTGGTTCTTCCTTGCTAATTTCCAATATTGTGATCTTCATTTTGCTAAATCACAATTGCCATGATTTTTCTTTAACAAAATTGGCACTCGTTGAGCGTCCATTAAGTTTGGTATCTCATATATAAATGCTATATACAACTTAGAGTATACATCACTGCCCTGTACAATTATTGTTTCACGTACACATAGACATTTTATTGGCAACTCATATGGCAGCAACGACTGCCCTATGTTTGGCAGCTGCTGCCTCATTGCGTGTGGGCTTATAAGTTATATGCCCTGGCACATTTCTGGGTTCCTCGCTTCCCATAGCTTGCTTTGTCCACGTGTGGCTTCTAGTTATTGCTATTGCTTGGACTATCCACCAGTGAGTAATTTAGACCACAAAGCTCCATACCAGTGTCTTGATTCTGCTTCAGTACTGAATGAAGGCTGTGGCTCCATTGCAGTACTGTGACTCCATTTGGCTCCATACCAGAGCCAGGGTCCATTCCAGATGGGAAAGTATTATGCCAGTTTATGGATGATTATTCATACAAAGGCCTCCCCAATAGCATTCAACCAATACCTCCCAAGGTTTAGTTACGAGATCAATCACTAGGTGGAGTTTTACCTAGGTTTATCTAAATTTAAACTCGGTCAATGAAATGCCACACACTCTTGCTTAAAATCTAGTCCAGAGTAAAAGGTCATTTCACATAATGAGCAGCTGGGAGGCAGTAATACTTAAATCATTTTTCAGATTTTTTCAATTTTGGCTAGCATTCAAACTCTGCTTGAGTTATAGCATTAAGGTTTTTCATGATTCCTTCTAAGTTGGCCATTTCCTGTGTTAATTCTTCTGTACTAGTCTGGAAAATATTAAAGAAATAATTCCCTTTTAGCATCATTGAAACAACAATTGGTTTCCATCAATGGAAATGGTAATAATATACAATATAATACGATAATGCAAGGGAAATACATTTACTATATTCATCAAAAATTTGTTTAATGATGATGATGGTGATTTGATAATGAACAACTTATTAATGTAGTAGTTATTAAATAGTTTAAGCAATCACACATTCAGTCAAAAGCTTTAGTATGCCCCAGGGTTTATGGTACCATCTTAATCTAGTGTTTTTAAGCATCTGGAATGTCTTATTTTAAAGCATTTTAAAACAAGGTAACACAAAGTCAGCATGCCTTGCGTGTTGTATATAAATTTCATATTACTATCACCTATCATTCCTCCCAAAGACCTCAAGATACGTCATAAAAAAGGTAATGCCAATGGGACCTGTTTCAATATTTCAAATCTTAAAGTTGTTTCATTTATCAAATTGATACGAAGAATTCCCCTAAAAACTAAATTATTATGTCCTGTTTGCTGGAGTATATCAACCAAGTGACCTTGTGTAGCGATGATAAAAAGTCACCCCACCTCTTTGAACATTCCCAATAATAAAACAAAACATAATCTACACCTATTGGTATACCTGTATATCAGGATTTCCTAAATTCCCCGTCATTGTAACATCTGGAGCCCGCGGTGATATCACGGGGAGAGGTGGTCGATTTTTATTAAAATTTGCCGACATCAAAGATGCTGGCGGTTTTTTAAATGGACTAGAGGGTTGCTGCGGCTTCACTGCAAAACACAAATAAAGATGGCGCTCAAAATTATGTCACAATTTCTGCCGATGTGTTTGTAAATCTAAATCCTTGCTTGAATCATTTTTTGTTGTGAATCTAGTTTTGTTGTAATATTTAGTGATAAATTCCTAATAAGGATCGATATCACATTTTTATTATTTTGACTGTCAAACAAGTTTGTTATTAATTGTAACTAACTTAATGATATAAACTCCTTAACTAAAAATAACATATCACTAAATTGAAATGTTAGATTCAAAGTTTGTTATTTGCAGAAAGATCTATGGCTAAAGATGACTATACTTGAACTAATCTAATAGTTGAGGTAAAGGTTTTAAAGATAATTTAAAAAAATAGAAAACTAAAAATGATTGAAATTTATCAGAATGAAAAACTGAAAATAAAAATGATTTGGCATGTTTACTCATACTATGTATACAGCAACACCTTGCTTAACACCTTTCACAAGATAGGAAATGCAATCGCTTGGTTTTGATTACAAAGTGTTTCTTCTTTGCGATATGATATCTTCCCTCGGGATAAATCTCATATACACCAGTTATACAATTGCAGTAAAATATGTCGATAAAAAACAATAATGTATAAAAATAAGAATAAAAAATTCATTCAATATGAACAAGAGCAGATATTGTGACATCAGGGTTAATTGATAGTTAAGCGTATTTCCAATTTAGCGAAGAGACATATTCAAGAAAAATCCTGATTGTTTCTCTATTGTCTTTCCATCAATTGAAAATACATTGTACATAACGGATTGTTCACAAAGATCACTTTTTACAATTTTGTGCGATTTCCTTTTTGAACAATCCTTCTATATATAAATATAAGTGCACGGCATGCATTGAATAAGCTACTGAGCTAGCACCATTAAGCTACTAAGCTAGCACCAATAAGCTAGCATCTATAAAAAATCTACAATAACGCAGAATAGAGTAAAATTAACATACAGTAAAACCTGTCTTTGTAAATACCCCACAAGACAACACCTCATAGTAATACTCAGGGAAAAGAACATCTAAGTATAATTCTAGTTTAAGTCCCTTTTAAAAATTTCTTCAGTTGAACAGGTTTTACTGTACTCTGTTTCGGATTACTCAAAATACTAAATACTCAAGTCTAGATACTCAAGTCTAAAGAGAGAGTACATGCATTCAGGGTGAAAGGCTAGCTCTTGTACTACTGTTTGTGGGTACTGATCGTGCGGGCAAATATTGTTTCATAGGTGTGTACTGTCTTTGTTTTCTGTGTAATTTTGCTGGATGAAATCTAGGAGATGAGTTTCTTTTTAGCATAAATGTCTCAACTGTATCTTGTATATTTTCTTGATATTGCTTTTCATGTTTTCTGATTTTGAAATATTATTAAGGTTGTACTTAGTCGGATTTTTGATTTATATGGAGAATGATGAAATATAGAGATACACCCACCCAACTAGAAGTTGACGACCCCGACCCCTAAAATGTGAACCCAGAGTGTCGTCCAGCTCACTAAAAGCCACATTGCACATGCAGAACAAAACAGAATTCATGTGAACACAAAGAGTGATAAACAACACCAATACATTACAACATGCAAAACACAACATTGACCACACTACACAACATTCACCAAGCCTGGAGTAAACCCCATCAGGTCATAACATAAAGTTTTACCTCGTACAATTCTGTCGGGAGGGCAATCATCTACACAACCAAAATAAAATGTGGAAATTATAACCATAATGTGAAATATAGGAGTGATAAACCAAAACATGGTATGATCTTAAAATTAATTGAAGTGGATAACATATTTGACATTCAGAAAGTGAAAGTATGGATCAAAAGTATTAAATAAAATTACGAAACATAAAGGATAACAAAATAAGTAACCAATACAGAAATTACAAATACCAAAAATTTAAAAAGATGGTGACCCAAAAAGCTTTAACATTGACTCATGCGGTACAACAGTTGACCTAAAGATGGCGTACCTATATGCCGAGCAGCAGGAGTGCTTGGGGCACTCTGCTGGTTAAGTAAATGAGGGGGCGGCCCCGGTACAGTGAAACTTTTCAGGGGGTGCTGAGGCCTAGGGCCCGGAGGAAGACTCTTATTCGTTCCATCCGTGCCATCGCTACGGCTACTATGCAACGAGAGCTGGTCATATGGAATAGGTGGCAGTTCATTTTGAGGCGAGGGGGACGTAGGAGATTGAAGTCCTGCAGATATACATTCATAGACACCACATAAAATTCATATTTCTGAGTATTACATACCTAGCGAAGCATTTGTATGGAAGTCAATGGGAAAGTTAGCGAGCTATATCCACCGATATTGCCCGATTACCCCGATATAGCCCGCTTACCTCGTTTTGATATTAGATTTCTTTAATAACCATGATAATATCATGACGTCACGTCATTGATACAAAGTAACCATGGGAACAAAGGCATGTAATACATCAGTTATGTCACTATGACGTGAAATATGCCTTCGTTCTTGCCCAAATATAGAGCCTCCCAAGGTCGGCCTATATTGGGAGAACTCAGGCATATTTCACGTCATAGTGACATAACCTCTAAATATTATATCCCCATAGGTATGCTTTGTAGGTGATGGTTTTTCCTGCTTTTAGTTTCATATCTCTACAAAATATCCTTTCAATAACAAAATTTTCATGAAGATTTTCCCAATTTTTTCTAAATCTAAAGCCAAAATAAGATTGGGGTAAGGGGGAGTAAAATATGACGAGTCAGCAACATTATTAGTGGCACATCTAATATATATAGCAGGAACCTCATTAAATAAAAGCTCAACATACTGACATCAGTCTATCATATGCCTCATGCATGTAAAAAGTGCATTTAATACCAATTATAGCCAAGCTTAATGTAAACAAGCTGAAGAACAAAAGCATGTGATGAAAAAATCTGCTCGAGTTCATATGAACATTCTAAGACATGTGGATATTTTTTTTAAATGATGAGCTAAATGATAATTTTAAATGCTGACATTTTCAAGCACAGGGTTGAATTCAAGCTATATGAAAAATTCCAAGCTCATACGGACTTGGTAAGCTCTGAAAAGTTTTAATATTTGGACATTTCAAGGTCCTTTAATAAATACAAGCTCATTTGGGATTCAAGATACTTTGAAAAATGTGAAACTTCAGATATTTCCAGGCTTTTCAGAGGATTTCAAGATTATATAGAAACTCACTTATTCTAAATGATTTTCAAGCACTATGAACATTTTCAAGCTAGTAAAATGATTTCAAGCTGATATGTATATTTCTAACTAAACGACCTTCAAATCCATAGGTCATTTCAAGCTCCTTCACTGATTTCAAACTCATATGGTAATATGCATGTTCTAAATGATATCCAAGCAAATGGGACATTTTCAAGCTCTTAAAATGACTTCATATAAAAGATGTCAAGCTTATGAATCTGTTCAATAGATGTCAAATGTTGCTGTCTCTTCAAACTTTACACATATGTATTAAAGCACCCTGTATTTATATTGATACAAAAATAGGTGACACCCTGGTTTATAAATATTTTGAGACATTACACCCTGCTCTATTTGTAAAATGTAAATATCTTCGATATTTTAAAAGGACAGAAAATCTACAAAGCACAGAAAGATTTATATTAGTGATAAAAAGAAATGTATGCACATTTAAACAAAATGATGAATAGATGTTTCATCAAATTTTCTTTGTTTCATAAACAATCACAATTTGTCAAAAAGAATGAAAGTGGAAATTACCATTTTTTAATTGCTTACTTATTAAAACGAATAATGTTTTTTTGTACTTCTTATGACAAACATCTGAAACACAGAGGAATTGTTTAAATGTGCTTGATAAAAGCTGATCAGAATTCTATTCATAGAGATAACTAGGACAGAAATCTACATGGATTAACACATTTATCAGTTCCGTTAGTGCGCAAAAGACTAGATGGCAGCACCTGGCTTGTCCAATGACGCTCCCATACTTTGAACTTTTCGCAACATTCGAGTTCGCTCATCGTCAGTTGTTTCTTGATCTACAATAGACTCTAGTCATGTGACATGCTATCTATGTGACATCATGGTGATATGACATCATAACAGGATGACATCATCGTGTCTGAATGGGTGAAAACATGGACTTCTGGTTCACATATAATTACATTATTCACAATATTGTTCATCTGCAGTATTATTCTAAATATGGTTGAATGTTTTCCCCCATTCAGAAAATCAATCTCTAATCATTGTGTGAGGTTAGATTCAAGATATCAAACAATTTGTAGGATAACTGATGGATATACAGAGGTTACACTTCAGCAGTTACCTTTAACATTTACAACCACACAAGTTACACTGCATCAGTTAAAAATGCAGTAGCTACAACTGCACAATTTAAATTGCACCAGTTAAAAGTGGACAACTTACACTGCACCAGTTAAAAGTGTACAAGTTACACTGAAACAGTTACAACTGCAGGGTTTACCCACAGCAGTTATTACATCAGAAAAACTAACTCAAAATTACACAAAACAAAATAAAGGAATTTTTTCTCACCTGAGCTGGGGAGGGAGGAGTCTCCCGCATGCACCCTGGGGGTGCTACTGTAATAGTTGGTGCGTGGGTATACAGGTCGCGTCAATGAATCATCTCCTGATAGGTGACCATTGGGTAGCGCTGTGGCGATGGCTATAAACAAACAAAACAGTGGTGAATATATTATTTTCTAAAAAAACTGACCAATCAGGTATACTGTCCACATATGCCCCCCCCCCCAAAAAAAATACCATGTGTAAATTAATAGAGGATCAATACACCTCAATTTGACGAACTTCTTGGGAATTTTCATCAAACTGTATTATTGCATGTTTATTTTGTTATCTACAAAGCATTGAGTTTTTCAAGATAGTTCCATCAACAGTTTGATTTCAATACAATTCTTAACTGTTATCTGTTACATTACATATGCACCAAAAGCAGAGAAAATCTAATTTACACTACGATACATGAATTTGCTATATAAGGGGTCTAAAGACTAGACCATAGCAATAGCTATGATCCTACATTTGACAGTATTTATGGTCCTACAAGTACCAGTAGCTATTGGTCCTACATGTAGCAGTAGCTATGGTCCTATATGTACCAGTATGTCTAAACTTTCCAGACGTTTACAACAAAATTGTATTAAATGATAGAAATTAAATCAAAACTAAAATTACAACAGGTATCTAAATATACTACTACTAATCTACACAGCAATAAATCTTAGTAAGTCGCAAAAGTGGCAGCCATTTTGTCGCATGCATGAAGTACCACTTACGTTCCCTAGGGGGAGCTGGTTGGGCATCAACTGGAATCATGATAGGTTTAGGACGCAAGGCTCGGCGATAACGATCATCTTGCGAATCATAAGCTGAATCACCTAGCAACAATAATGCAGGTTGTCATGGTAACACTCATAATACCTCATTTTGTTTACTTTCTCAATAAGTCTGGTGAGGTACATTTGCCTTTCTCAAAGTGTTCCCTCTAAATATCCCATTCTCAAATATGCCCTCTTGATATATGCCCTCCACAATGCCCTTCATAATTCTTTCCCTTAGCACTATGCATTTTTATCATGGAAACCCTTCCACATGTATGCCCTTTAAAATTAATTATATGCCCATCTAAATATATACTAGATAAAGTACCATGTTCAGTATAAGCCCTTCTAAAAATATATGCCCTTATCAGTTAATGTAATGAGGTGAATGAAATGCATCTCACACTAGAATCATTAACTATACAGAACTTATATTATACACTACCAAGTGTGCACACTAATAAAATACAGAAATTATATGTGCTAACCCAGAAGAAAATCATCAAGGCGGTCATGCCATTTTCATATTTTCATGTTTTTCCTCCTTAAAAGGAAAAAACTGCCAAATTTTGGGATATTTCTCTACAATTTGATTTGTTCACTATGAGCATGTCTATTCTATTCCTTACTAATTCCACATCTTTCATCTCTATTTTATGTTTCCCTTAAAAAGAAAAACTGCCAAATTTTGGGATATTTCTCTACAATTTGATGTGATCACTATGAGCATGTCTATTCTATTCCTTACTAATTCCACACCTTCTTCTCTATTTTATGTTTTGAAACATGACCATGTCTGATGACGTTCTTCATATGGGTAATTAATACACAGAGGTAGATATTCTATGAGTACGCTAAACTATACAATATAATATAGTGGAGTGCAGTTAGAAATTAAACTAAATTTCAATACAAAAATTATAATTCATAAAACAAAATCATATTTTAGAATCTCACAAAAAGCAGATTTGTCATACATATGCTAATAATTAGACTATTATTATAATTAAACGTTATTGTTTAGTAGAAAATAATGATACTTAAATAAAAGACTATAATACTTCAAATGATACCTAAACCAATAAAACATTTTGTGAGTAAACAGTGTATACAGTAAAACCTATACGTTGTGGATGACACTTCCTGTTATGTGAACACTTTGTGTTAAGAGAACACCTCATGTTGTGTGAACACCTCATGTAATGTAAACACTTCCATTATCTGTTTACATGTGTTCATGCATACATGTACATATATAGGTTTTACTGCTATGGCAAACAATGGGCAATAGTAGAGAGAAACTGCAGACCACGTGGTAAGCAAGAAACCCAGTGTTAAGTCTTCAATAAATTATTTCTGAGTAAATCATCTTCAGATCTTCATCCCTGTGATGATATTCCAGTCTGAGATGAAATTACAATACACCCCCAAGCAGCATTTAATGTTTTGAGGACAGGACCGTATTTGGGTGGACAGAGTAGGCAAGTATGGGACATGATCAATCCTTGATACAAAGCTTATGGTTATGGGATTAATGGTTATTATCAGATATACAAATAGAAACTGAGCTATAGACACAATAAGGTGCACATATACAAAGAAATAAAACTATTGAAATAAAAACTGAACTGTAGACAAATAAAAAACTATGAACAAATAAAACTATGAACGTATAGAACAATTTCAAAAAAATAACTACGAAAATATAAAACAAAACTATGAATACACAGAAACAGAAAACTGAATGCATAGAAACAGAACCATGTATCAAACAAACAGAACTATGAGTACATACAAGAACATATACAGAATAATGGGAACATTAAAACGAAACTGGAAACATAAAAACAAAACTATGGGCACTAAGAAACAGAACTATAAGTACATAGAAACAGAACTATGGTACATAGATACAAAACTAAGGAAGGACAATATATGATGATTTGAGCACAGGATGGATGACAGGGCAAAGCGAAGCTAGAAAAGAGAAGTACCCAGCCAAAGCGACAACACTTACTTATAAAAGAATTACGTCTTTTATCCATTTCCAGTGGCATTTCTTCTGGATTCTGCTGCATGTCTTGAGGTATTGTTGTGACCATTAAAGGCTCCTGTTGCGAGCGGTCCATATTTTTCAGCTCCATTTGGTCATGGATCCAAAGATCTGGAGGTTTCAAGTCTTTATTTGGTCCACTCTTGGCTGCAGTCTTGGCTGGTTTGTATCTAAAATAATGGACAGAATTAAGCCTTCAATTTACCATTGTAAATCAGTCTATCATCTATAATTATCATAATTATCAATTCAATGATATACGAAATATAGTAGTGACAGAAACAATGTAAACCTAGCTAAATTCATGGTGGGTCTTAAAACCACCTTGAAATATGTACAAGGGGAATACATATTTCCATCCATAAACTAAAATCATGACAATTAAGCCTTCCTTTTCACCTTCAAATATGTACAAATGCCATGTCAATTTCAATTTCCACCCCTCATTTACTTTTTGCTGCCTGTATATCACTTACTTTGACCTCCTCTCTGAGGAGTTGTTATCCATACGTCTTTTACACAAGAACACGATGACACCGACGATCGCGATAATCGTCACGCCAGCAATACATGCGATGATAATCCAGAGTGTGTTAGTGGAAATACCACCTGAGCTACCCTGTTGGTTGTCTTTTGAATTACCAGTATTGTCTCCAGCGTCTAGGGGTGGATCCAAGATCCCTGGGGTCTTAATAGGCCCACCTCCTGTGCCATCCGCTGTATAAGAAAGCACAAATGGATAAGTTAGAAAAACAAGTCAATTCTGAATTGATTGCTATTAATCATTGACATGCTGAAATAGAAAAGCCAAAATACTATAGTGCAAACCACGAGGAAAAGGTGTGCCATTGATTTTTATTTTTAGTGAAAATTCTCTTTATTTGAATGTTTTTCTCAAAACTTATTTATCGACCTCGTACTAGGATCCATATTAGCCCTATTGCTAAATGAATGGTGTGCACCATGATAAAACATGTTCTCATTTCAGAGTGTTGCAAGTGAAACAGACATGTGTGAAGCATATCAGAATGACAAATACACCCTTCCATTGTCATTTTTAAATTTCCTTACATTTAGGTGTGCTGTAAATTGCTGTTGATGAGAAAGGACCATATCCCTTGCTGTTTCTCGCTTGGACCTTGAAGTAGTAAGTTGTCTCAGGAGTAAGTCCCTTGATGGTTACAGTCAATTTATCTCCCAATACGCCCTCCACTACCCAGTCTCGATCATTGCGTGTCGCATCTGTCGTGTAAAACACAAGATAACCTGGAAAAATATATCACATGTTTATAGTAGTATTTATTTTGGAAAACAATCAATATCTTTTTTTAATTAATGATTTATTTCAATATAAAATATAAATATTCATACACATATTGCAGCTTTGAAATAAAGCATGATAAGCTACAATCAACCTTATTGATGTACATGTGCATTTTTGTTGAAATACTTAGGATTAAGGGTTTCCAGAATTATATATCATTTGAAAGCTTACTTCATGTTTTTTGGAATCTGATTTGCTCACAGACACTGGATTATGGGTTGGTTCTCATTCTATGAAAAGCCAACAATTTGTTTGATCTTTGACATACCTGTGACCTGCCCATTTGCCACACGGGGAGGCTGCCAATTAAGGATAAGATGTGACGGATTTCTAGCTGCACGAATGGTTGTCAAGTCTCGAGGGGCAGTCTGGGGGATCCCCTCAAATGTCCTATTTGTCACACTCAAGCTCCACGTACTTTGCCTCTTTCCTTTAATCACCTTCACTGAGAATTCATATTCAGTGTTGGGTTTCAGATCTTCTATATGGACATTGAGATCTGTTGAGTTGATGTATTTTGGTTTTTTGTTATATGGTGCAGCGTTATACTTGACTGTGTAATATCTAATATCGGTGATTCGCTGATTTCGACCAAGAGTAGAATCAGACCATGTGACCACAATAGTTGATGATGATAGGACAATGGCTTTAAGCCCAACAGGAGGAATCATGGGAGTGGCAGACTCCTCTTGTGCTTTCTGACGAGTTGATACAGTCTCTAGGCTTGGTACACCAAAACCTTTATTATTGTTTGCTCTCAGACTTATGACATACTCCGATCCAGGTTCTATAAAATATGTGATTAATTTTTATAAAACAGTTTTGGCCACTGAGGCTGTAAATAAAATGATAATTAATCCAATGAAAATATGTAAACAGTATTACCTATTAAAGGTTTGAGAAACCCATAAATGGCATTATGTACAAATAATGCCTTCCTTAAATCTTATTTTACAGATATAATAACCAACAGCAAAGACCATGACCAACTTACCTAGATTTCTCAATGTATAATATCTTTGCTTTGCGTCAACATAAATCTCATGGACATCTGGGATACCTTTCCCATAGCCAATCTTATAGCCTCTGATCTTCACTTCGGTGTTGACAGGGGGAGTCCAGCTGACGACTATAGAGGTTGGTAGAGGGCGCACTCGCAGTGAACTGGGTTGTCCAGGTACGGTGGATTCTAAATTAGAAATGGTTAAATTTTAGATTTATGAACAAATGAACACGACGTTTCCAATTTTAAAGCTGTGTCCCCAAGGAACCAAAAACCATTGACATTTTGTTTTCAAATTGATAATTGTCACTGACACTTATATAATGGGTTTCCAATTATGTTTTTGATGCTTTGATAAACTTTTAAGTTTTCTAATGATTGTTTTTACCCTCAATGCTGATGCAAAAGAAATATTTCCCTCAATTTAATAAAAATTCAACAAATATCGTAATATTCTGTTTTCATTTTCTGTGCTTATTCAAATTCCCTGTGCAATTTCCCCATAGACATAATAGAGAACATACCATCAAGATCAGAAATGAAAGTTTCAGCACGCAGCCACTCAGTGGCAGGCCCACTCCCATTGACAGTCATGGCGGATATTCTAACAACATAGGTGGTGTGGCGTTGAAGATCAGCAATAGTATAAACCCTCAAGTCCCCAGCAGTTGTAAATGTCTCTCCCCGACGAGCACCCTCGCGTTTGTATCGGATTTTGTAACCTGTTATGATACCATTGCGATTTTCCTCAGAAGGAGGTTCCCATCTTATTACGATACTCTGAAATGAAAAAATAGTTGAATTTTAGGCAAGGAAAAAATATTTTGGTTCCAGTTGTCATGGTTTCAAAATCTAAACATTGTTAGCACTCATACTCGTGGAAATTCAAATTCCTTTTTTTCTTGAAAAAATTCTGGAAGATAAAAATTGTAACTTGAAATACCTTTCATATCAAGAGAATTCAATTCAAAACTTACTGTTGAGCTGTCTGTTTCTATGGTAACGTTCTGTGGGACTGCACTCGGGACGTCAGAATATGTCCTCGAGTTGACCTCTTCCGTACTCATCCCAGGGCCATTACTGTTAAATGCCACCACCCTAAAACTGTACTCTGTGAACCCTTTGAGACCAGACAGGATCTTTTCTAGACCATTCACAGAGACATCGGTTTCTTCCTCTGCGCCTACTTTATAGTAGTAGAGTTTATAGTTGGTGATTGCGCCATTTGGTTTCTCTGGCGGCCGCCACATGACTTTGATAACAGATGGACTAAGGGGAAATGCTCGGAGTTCACGAGGCGAGCTTGGTACATTAACTGAAAGCAGAAATATTTTTTAAAAATCACATTCATAATTTCATATGCATGTCCCCAAATGACAGGTCCATTTTTCTATACAAACAAAAAATTCAAGATTCTGTTTGTGTAATGATCACAACAAATTAGAGTCATAGTTTTCTCACTAAGAAACCAACATGCTCATTTTACTAATCAATTCATAGCAATCAGAAAAAAGTAACGATAGTTGAAAATTAAATTAAAAAAGATTGAGCAAGAGTGAAATCAGGAAGGAATAAATAGAAGTACAAATTCAGTTAATTCTCAATAAATTTCTAGAAAATTAATCAGATATATTCAGAAACATTCATAAAAATGCAAAATCAGAGAGAAATTCTTTGCAAGGGTAAACATTCTCCAGATACAAAACAACAGTTTGCCTAAGGGCAGAGACCCAATAAAGGTTATCTCTATAAAATTGTTTAATGAAATAAATGGGTATAATATTTATCAATTACTGAAGCAACAATTGAAACTTAACCTTATAAAAGCTTCTGTAAATCATAAATAATTAAATTATAGCAGATATGTTTTCTATCCAAAATTATATAAAATATTTGCTTTGGCATTCTGCTTTATTATATTGAAACTTTAGACGAAATTAATCAATAGTGGGATGCAACAAGAAATCTACTCATCTAGAAATGTACGATATTGAATATTATTACAATATTCATTTTTTTGTTAAAATATTAAATTGAAATGAAAATTTGGACATTCTTGTATTTCAACCAACCAGTTTATCGTAATCCTTGCAAATTCTGATTGGGTAGCTGGATTTTGAATGCTCCACTCTGATTGGTTAAGATTACTATTTCAAAGAGTGTTGAAGCTCTCTTTTAAAAATGCAGAATTAAACTCTTAAAATGGGTATGTTAATGATAATATGCTCACCCTCAGGTTGTGTCTCAACAGTTATTTCTGCCATACTCCTTCCAGGCCCGAGACTGTTGTATGCAAGCACTCTGAATTCGTATCTTGTTGACGGCTTCAAGTGCTGAATATTCAATTCAGTAGCTGAGGTGTTTGTCACTCGTTCCCTGGTGGTGAAGTAATATGTATATTATGTGAAGAGGAAATAAAACTTGTACAGTAAAACTGAATTAATCCGAACACCAGCTGGCCAAAGTTTTTTTTGTAAAAGCAGGTATTCACATATCAAGGGAGTCAATGCAGCTAGAATAGCAGGTGTTCATATTTCATGTTTTCTTTATCAAGGGAGTCAATGCAGCTAGAATAGCAGGTGTTCATATTTCATGTTTTCTTTATCAAGGGAGTCAATGCAGCTAGAATAGCAGGTGTTCATATTTCATGTTTTCTTTATCAAGGGAGACAATGGGAGATTACATAATTAGGACTGAGGACCGAGAGAAAGTGTTCATCTTAAGAGGTGTTCAGATAACAGAAGTGTTCAGATATACAAGTTTTACAAAAATGTAGAAAACATGAGTGCAATACAATTCATATTTTCCATTAATTTGGCATACTTGCTAACCAGTTTGATTTTCAAATGTCAGAGCTTGGATATTAGGGAGTTTAAGCTTGCATATAAAATCGAAAGGCCAACTTATACGTATGACCAATCGCCCATACAAATCCATCTCTTAAATATTTTCCATTCACATTTGTGTTGTGAAAAACATTGTAAGCTTAAACTCCCTATTGAATATAGAACACTTGTAATGTTCTATTTGAGCACTCCAACTTCAATATTTCATTTGGTATCATATTCTAGATTTAGATATATTAGGTAACGAATTGAATGATCTTTAATATAATGTGGATTATTGGGATACATGATTCTGGATTGGCAACTGAACCTAACATACCATGTATACATACATAGCAAGAGGAGGGAAAACCCCATGATTCAATTGATGACATACGATTTCCTCCTTCGCGCACCTCCTTTCCCGGAAGTACTTACCCTCCATTTTGGTTTTCAAAGTTTTCAAATTGACCTAGTTTTAAACCAATCAACGATCCACTCGCTTAACCAATCAGCGTCAATGTCATCTCAATACAGATTTACATTGGCGTTTCTCCCCCTCTTATACATAGCTAAATAATACAATGTGTGGGCCCCATGAGCAATCAAAATCTGATTTATAGACTGAATAAAAAACAATAAAAAACTGATATAATGAAGATGAAATGACTTCATATATTCACCTGTTTGAGCCAGTTTCCTTCCAGTATACACTATAGTTGTTGATAATAGACTCTCCAGTCATTAATGGCTCTCTCCATGATAGCGTCACAAACCTAGTAGAAACTATCGCCGCTGCCAGCTGCCTTGGGGTCCCCGGGAGATCGCTAGCTACCCCTTCTGTCTGTCCTGCAGGTGTAGGGGTGGTGTGAGGGCGGAGAGTTGGAATGGGTACGTCTGTTTTTTTCATTTTCAGGGAAGAGAGAAGAAACGAAAGGAAAAATAAACCAAAATACAAGACACCAAAGCAACTTAAATATTTAACAATAATAATAACAATATTGACATGCACGAAGTGAATGGTGTTTGCCAGGCTTCTCTTCATAATTACAGAAATATTTTATTTTTCAAGATCAATATCTACGTCTGTTTGTTTAAGACATACATGTTATGCATACATGTTATATTTCAAACAGTTAGCTCAGATCTGGTTTGAATGAATACCTAAATATTCAAATACTTTGACATTCTTTTGAGGATTGAATTGATTTACGTTATTTCCAAATTAATACCAATTTATCTAGATACTTTATTAATAGAACTTTCTTTTGTCAACTGAAGAGAAACCTGGCAGAAATGTCATACACAATAATTCAAATAGCTGAATTCAAAGATCAGGCAGAGATTGCTATTGAAACAACTGACACAGAAATATTCATTTTTATGGTTTTACGGGATTGGTTTGCATTCATCTAATATTGCTATATTATACTGAAGGCATTGAAATCAAGGAAGGAGATAAAATCAAAAGCATTTTTGTTTTAATGATTTTTAATTTTAGACTGATATATTCCATATGTTCAGAAAGTGATCGAGCTGTAATTTCCAAAAATAAAGACCAGACTGCTCAAATGGGAAATAAAAAAACGTTAACATGAAAAAAAGAGTTAATATCCCTATAGGGACCTACCTCCAAGAGAAAATATAGTTGAAATATGAATATAAAGGAGGGATTTGAGAATTCAAGTTAGGATATGTGAATAGTTCCGTGTCAATGTTATTTTAATTCAAGATAGTGTACTCTATATTATAACCAGTGAAGTGATTCACTCATTCAGTCAGTTGTAACAGTATATCTGTAGAAACTACTATAGAAAAAGCATTTGTGAGAGTTCATAACAACATTTACTGAAAAACGATGAAAATCTTTTAGGGTGCTAAAACCTTAGATCATATTCTACTCTTGTTAAGGTATACCTACCCAATATCAAAATATCTCTCTGGTCATGATAATTCCACACGCTTTCTCTAAAACTTGTTTGAAATGCATTGTTTTCTTGCATTTACATATAATTTAGAGTTTACTATATGCCTGTTCACTTTATTCTTTGCTTTTTTACTCAATTTCTCTCTATTTTGAGTTGTAAATATGACCAATGTGATATTTTGATTCAGGGGTAGGCTAAAGCTGAGGGTTTAAATACAATGCGGTTAACGTCTCACTTATCACTCATACATTCATTTGTCCCCATGCTGATCTTCATGAATCATGCATTAAGTCTGCCTCCCCTTTTCTCTTTTGCCTAATATTCCTCTCTTGTCTCATATTTCTCTTGCCTCATATTTCTCTCATATTGCCTCATATTCCTCTTTTGCCTCATATTTCTCTTGCCTCATATTTCTCTTGCCTCATATTCTCATCTTAACATTGAGGAATTGACAACAGAGGGATGGGGGAGTAAAGACTTTCTGCATGACTGAATCGTGGTTATCCACCTCTATACAAAAGTCTGGTTTTACACACACAACATTTAATTGATGAACCAGTGTGAACATAATAACACCATATTGTTGGGATCTCTTTTTGATTATACTAGATACTGATGAAGACGTTCTATTTAGATGATGGAGATGATTTTGGACAACACCTAAAGATACCAGATCAGATAGTATAGCTCTTGAAAGACGGTTTGAAAGTGAAATCAAAATTATGAAGTTACAGACAAGTTAAAATAACTTAATATGGAGTTAGGAGTTAAAAATAAAAATTGACAGACTTCCCGGAGATCTCCATTGCACATTTATCAAAAAAATATTGACCTATATAACTTTTTTGACCTAATTTTTTTTAAATTCAACTTTAATATGCTCACGTTTTTTATTTACACTATCAAAAATTTTAAGCATTATATGAATATTTTAATTATACTAAAATATTCTGAACCAATTATGAACACATATGAACAACAATACAAACAAACAAACAAACAAACAAACTCGACAACATCAAATGTGGGACTTAATTCAAACACCATTATCCAACACAGAATTTATGAGAACATTTCTCGAACAGATACACAAAACATTTAAAACTTGGAACAAAAAAATTACAAGGATTTATGTGAAATCACGATGCACATACATAAATTTCACATGCAGGTAGTAATTCATAACATTGAAGCATGACATCATATTGCCATGCTTTACAATTGCCATGCATTACAATTGCCATGCAGCACAATTGCCATGCATTTAATAAATAATAAAAGAGATTTTAAGAAAGATGGGGGAATTCGAAGATTGTTTTAACTCTTTCAATCTAAATTTTGGTTCTAATTATCTTTTTTCAAATTTAACATCATACAAAGCTTCACAAGAAATGAACAAAAAGCATTTAATCAAGTTAATTACAACATAAAATTTGCCAAATTCAGCAATTTGGTCAATTTTGGCATAAACTGAACAAATTCCAATCATTCTAAACAATTAAAACTGCTAATTCGAGAAATAAAAATTTTCTAATCATTCCCAACATTTATCTCTAATTCCATTAAACATATAATCTAACAAATATTTAGCTTGAAAGAGTTAACATTTTGGGGGTTGTATTATTGGGGACGTTTTAACCCTCCACTCACCAAACATTAACATCTTTGCATATGTTCAGTTCATACATTAACCCTTTGTTTCAATTTTAAACTGAAGCAAATGTTTAATAATAGATAAAACATATGCAAGTTTGTTAATTGCCCTTAATGTTACACGTCTAAATACAATAACACAGTTCTACATCCGAGGTTGCATTGAGAAATAGGTCCTTCTTGACAATTCATCTTTTGCGAAAAGTCTCCCCCTCTCCCTATACCACAGCAGATCAGATAGAATAAGGGAAAGGAGATACTTTGTACAAAGAAGAGCCAAACAAAATTGTGAGTGTTTAATTTTTCATCAAATCTCAAACCCCCTCTCCCGTCATACTCACATTCATATACTGAATATGTGAAGGGGGGGGGGGGAGTGTGTGTAACACACTTACTCTGTGCAAGTGCAAGCCTTGTGTAATATCACAACAAAAATTGCATGAAATTCTATCCTCGGATGCGAGACTGCCCAATAAGTAATAATAAGTGACGAGTTACAAGCACATAACTGTAAATATGACGAGACACATGACTGTTAAAACAATACCCAGCAACTGCTCACAATCACGGCATTCAACATTTTCAAATAAACATTCAGTCCAACATATAAGTGCCGTAATATGGATAGGAACCATCCCTACTATTCCATTAAATCACCAAAGAGCCCATTTCCAATTAAACTTTACCGACGAGAGGATTCACAGTTTTACAAGACTTGTAGACATATCATTTTTTCGAGTGACATTGGGTTCCATAGTTCACCTTCTATAAATCATATGCCCTGTGTCTTGAGTAAGCCCTCTGTCAGGTTTGCAAAGATTTATATTTGAAATGGACCCTATGGTGATCAAATTCTATGCACTTAACTGAGGGACTGAACTGACAAGAACACAGCAACAGTATATCTATACAGTATATATAGGACATTGACATTCCCATTCAGAGCACAGAGCTTAAAAAACTCAAAATTTTCGTTCAAAAATCAAATTTTTCATCCAAGAACTCAAAATTTTCATCCAAAAACTCAAAATTTTCATTGAAAAAACTAAATTTTCATTCCACATTTATACTCAAAATAACATTAAATAATGAAACATAACTCTCATTTGAGATAACTCATTCAAAATTTGAACATATTTTACAAAAGTGAATTGCCAACATAAACTCAAATTAAATTGATTTGAAAACTCGTATCAAGTGTTGTTGATTTTTTTGATTGATATTTTGACATTTAGTGCTTATATTGTGAGCGTTGCAGAAAAACCACTGTGCGGTTACAATAGACAGAGATAAATTGACGACCGAGAAAGTTTTGAGTATATGTGAGTGAATTTACCCTGATGATATCGACTTCTTTTCGGGATGACTGAAATGTTAAAATTGTTATGACAAACACATAGAAACACACGTCCCATTATTCTAGCAGATTAGACAGTGATTTTAAAAAGTTATTCCACATTTTAAGAGATCTTATTAATAATTAGTGACGATGATAGGATAGATTTCAGGAATTATTTGACGTGCTAAAGGATATTATGTGCATACTATATTACTTGTGTTTATACTTTTCACCTCTGATCAATTTATTGTTGGCACAGATAATCACAAAGCCACAAAACAATTCAAACATGAAGTCAGTTTTATTGGCTGTTTTTGTTGTCATCTCCATGGTTATTTGGGTTTATGACTTTGTGATGTGCCCATGTGTCGACATGAGATATTATTATAGGTGTCACTTATGCATGTTATATAGCCTCACATTGGGTAAACTGTTACCATGGTTACCATGTTACACATGCCTGTTGGACCGAGACACACATCAATATCACTCAACCACCACCACCAACAACAACCAAGATTTTTCTCTCCCAACCAAGATTTTTCTATCTCAAGATTATTTTGTATATAACGATGATATTTACAGTATTTCCTTGAATTATAAAAATATTTTTAATATAAGATTTCTATCATATTGATAATGAATTTTTCATCAATGATGATAATTTATTGTCAATGATGACAAAATACTCATCAATGATGACAACTATTCAATGATGATAAGTGGTTGTTAATGATGATGATGGTATTGCATGGTTGACTGGTTAACAGCACACAGCGAGATATAAACTCACTAGCATCTCAACCTTTCAAGTTCACAGTAATCAGAATATTCTCCAGGTGGAGACTTTTTCCATATTTAATTTGCAATTGGATTTAAAAAACATTGAACAGAAGTATTTTCAAGTGACGCTAAATGCCAGAAACTTCAAGAATGACCATTGTTGAATTTCAAGTTCTCGATAATGGAACTGCGAAAAGAAAAAAAAGTAAAAATACAACGCCGTGAACTTTTTGGAAGTGAAGATGGAGCAAAGAGGGTGGTAGATATTTTGACATCTTAGTAGATTACAGGAGGGGCTGCGTCGAAGCTATTTCATCAATTTTCAGTATAACCTAAAAACTAAAATTATGAGTTAGACATTTTGAATTTGAAAAGAACAAAAGTTGTACCTGGTTGAAGGATCACAAGCTGAGCTGAAGCTTGAATGGTCCCAGCAACATTTGATGCCACACACTGGTAGAGGCCATCGTCAGAATTCACCAATCCCAGAATCTTCAGGTCACGATCATTAATAATTTGGAAGTAATCACTAGGGATGACAACATCGCCATTTTTCATCCACTGGATGGTAGGTGGCGGGACACTGTACACATTACAGTCAAACCTGACATCGGCACTCACGTGAGCATACATGTTATGAGGTTTCGTGACAAATCTGGGTTTCACTGAAAGGAAATTAAATTAAATTTAAGATGATCTCACGATTCACACGACAGCAAAATATCTTAAGTGGAACACCTCTAAAAATGGAACAATCCATATAGTGGAACACTTTTTAAAGTCCATGTACCCCATTTACACAATAAAAATCAAACCTCTGTGAGTGAAAACTTTTTTAAAGAACCAAATGTGTTCCACTTACATAGGTCTAACTGTATTTCTAAACAAAAGTCTTCAGAGTAAACTGTTAAAATGCAATATTTAGAGTATAGTAAACAAGAAAAGTAAAAATAAATATTTCTATCAATGTTTCCAAACACTGCCACAATGTCTCTAAGTCATAAGGCCTAAATAATTTTGTTTGAATTCTAATCTAAATATTGAAGCAGCCTTGCTACATAGTTCACAAATATATGGGATCATTTCTTAATATGGCAATGTTATAGAAAAAAAGATAATGTTTTCATAACAATGTGACATATGTATGTCACCAGTAAATACATCATATTGGTCTCAGGGTAATTCCAATATCCTAAACCTCATATAGGATAATCCCTATATCCTGAACCTCATATAGGATAATCCCTATATCCTGAACCTCATATAGGATAATCCCTATATCATATCATACCATGTACTGTGAGTGTAGCATCAGCATCATTAGAGTCCACATTATTACTAGCCCTACACGTGTATAGCCCCGCATCCTCTTCTAACACTTCTGATATCTGTAGATTACTTGTGGTAGGTCCCACCAATGAAAATCTGCTATCTAGGTCACTGGAATATAAAAATATTACAATTTTTGAATCATAACAGAGACCACATACAATGAAAACATCAAGGCAATTCAAAGTGTTGTTCTCAAACACATTACTATTTTCATATTTTTATAATAAGAAGACCTATAGTTTTATTATTTTATGATATTTTCATAAGTGCAATAAATTGCAGAAAAAAATCAAAAATTAACTTACGACATATCAATTTCCTTGCCATCTTTCAGCCAAAGTATAGTTGGTTTGAATCGCAACCTATCTAAGCCATTAGCAGCACAGAATAGTGTCACAGTGGTGCCCTCTAGAACTGATTTATCCCTGGGCACCATCACAAATGTAGGTGAGACTCCAAACAGAGAATCTATAATATATAAGATAATCTTTCAAAATCATACAAATACATGTACGAGGGGTAAAAGCTAGTAATAGATATTTCTATAATTTTTAAATATAAACATGCCCTTAATACACTCTAATATGTTTCACATTTTGTAATAAAATGATCCTCAATATTGAATGTAGTACGTTTCCTCTTATTTAAACCTTTAGGACTGGTTTAAAAGTTATTAAATCAAAACATCTATCCGCCTACCTTGGCCAGATAAAAGTGTCAAAGCAGCGTAGGAACTCATACGCCACCTATCAGCATTCACAGCTTTGCACCGATATCTCCCAACATCTGATGGTTTTATATCTGATATTTCTAATACACCTTCTGGGTAAATCTGTAAGTTTATATTAGAATCTTCCTGTTTTAGTTCATAGTCCTCTTTAAACCATGTTATTTGAGGTGGAGGAGCGCCATCTATTAGACATCGAAACATGGCGGTTTCGCCGACCCGTAATTGTTGGGTAACAGGTTCTTGAGTAAATGACCTTGCTATATCTGGAAATACAAACAGAGGCAAATCAAACCAAAATTCAATTTTGTACAGTACATGTACATATGGCATAAATGAAGTCTTACTTGAACAAAAGAAAAAAATATATATTTGGTCCTCGTGAAATATATTTGATTTCAGAACAGAGGTTATACATGAAGACAGTGTATAGTAACAATACTCTGAGAATTATCATATTCTAAACGTAAAGTAAACATAATTTTTTGGTCAAAATTCCAACCTGAAACTCAGAAATCTCACTACTAGCTAGTAGCTGATAATTAAGTGAATTTTTTTAAATGATTGAAAGGAAGGCGATTAATGAAAGACAGCTTTTTGATTGATTGATTGTAAAATCTGCCCATAATGTTTTTTTCTGAATTTACCTAAGACTCTAAAAATAAATTAGCAGCTTGGCCCCAGAAGACCACCCAAAAGTTTATAACAACAACACTCCTGTGAGATAATAATCCTCAGGGTCATGCATATTTCCCATATTTTCTCTTAAAAATTTGAATGAACTACCAGATTTTCTGACATTTCTATACAGTTTAGAGTGTCTACCACATGTCTGGATACTTTATTCCTTGCTCATTTCATTCATTTCTATAGTATTTTCTGTTTTAAAACATAACTACCATGACAATGTTCATGGGAAATGTTATGGCACCAAGCATTTGTTTATACATTTGTTCATCATATCTTTCAATAACATTATAATTATCTTCCAACTAAACCAGATCATGATTCATAAAATGTCTTCTACAACTCAATATCAAAAATAAAACAAAAAAGAAACGAAAATTGAAGATGTTTAAATTTCACAAATTGGAATTTTGAGAATCTGCATCCAAGTTCAGATAAAGATGGACCACCCTATATTAACATGGTGCTAATTTGTCTGGCACTATGATAATCCCTGGAACAAGATAAGATTAAAACAGACCATATTCACTAAGAAAACACACAGAAGACAACACTAGGGAAAAGGAAACCAAGCCCAATAAACCATATCAAGCCAATGAAGTTAATCCTGTACACGTGCATATGATATAATATAAAAAGAAAAAGAATGCAAGAAAACTAAGCAGTTCAAATTTGAGATGTCAATTTGAAATTCAAAATAAATTGACAAAAGGGAAAATTAAAAAACATGGAGTGAACACTCTAAATTAGACAAGTCATTCATTGATATTTTCAAGAGAAATAGAGTGAAATAAGCATAAGAAAATAATACTTCAAACAGTTGAACAGGTACCCAGGGACCATCTGGTGTGATTAGATTTGGTAGCAATTAATTATCCCAAACCCTTCATCCCAAGTTATGAAGATCTGGAGATGAAATTTGATATATTTCATGTATGGTGTCTATAATTCATATTTCTAGGTCCATGTATAAATAAGATTGCAGCTTGGTTCTGTTAACACCCCCTCCCCCTCCCCCTGTTCTATATATCCTTCTGTCATACCACAGTACTAACAACAATATATGACATGGTTTCGTGTGGAATATCACTTGTGAAAGATACACAGGTATTCACCTCAATAGAATTAAATATTTGTATATTATCAAAACAGAATAGGTTGTACAGTGCAAAATACTTTGTGTAAATCCTAATTGTTATGTGTAATGTTATTTTTGATCATGGGCCAATCAAAATATGACGGAATGAAGTTTTCTGGTTTGGCATAAAACTGGTAATCTGTTTTTATTGTAAAACCTTTCATGTTGTCCCAATTTCTGGTTCGCATATGGATCCATGGTTTCTTGTAAAAGATACCACAAACAGGATCTCAAAAGTATGCGAGGTTCTGAAACTCTACAGGTGAAAGGATTCCATTTTCACATTTTAAGCAAATCTTATACATCATAATTAAAAAATATTTCTATTTGATCATTGATCGCTTTTAAGTGTTGAACAGGAAGAAACAGTTTTTTACAAATTCAGGACTTCTGGTAGTTCAGAAAATGATATTTTGGCTTACTTCTAATTACCAAATTGAAGATACTCAAAAATCAAACTGTAAATACTTTTGATACTTTAAAATAACAGTATGCTCTTGATAATTTTAGCGATAATGATAACATACTACTATAATATTCACTCGGGTTTTATTCACTGGGATTTTGTGGCAAAATAAATAGAGTTATCATTGCAACGATACATAATCCCAATCTGAAATTTTTCTATTTATATTGGCAGCCAGATATACTGTCATATCAGGCACATGACAGAGCATAAATATAAAATTTCAACAAGTATAAAATTTCAAAAAAAAAATATGTTTTTATTTCTTGAGTATCATAAAATAATTTATGTAATGTTAGCTCAAAATGAAAGGATCAGAAAATTAAAAGGTTGGATGTGGAAAAGAATTTAACAAATGATATATGAACCAGGCTAATTTAAAGGGGTAACACGCTGACATAATTTTCTGCTAAATAAAGCAATTTTCTGCTATTGCAAGTTAGTTTCTCAACATTACAACAACATCCAAATTACAAAACATCAACATTTTTACAAATTGCCTCATTTTATATAAATTCTGAAATAATGATGAATTAATCATAAGCCCCTTGGGATAGGATAAAACATATTTGTGACAACAGATTTGAAATATGTTTTACCCTCAATCAAATAATAAATATCTACCCTTTGCCATTTTAGCACTTGAACAAACAATATAATGTAATTTCCTTCAGAATAAACATCAAATCTAAAACCTTCTACAGTAAAACCAATTTACACCTACCCTGCGTGCAGAGTAGTGGTGTCAATTAACCGCTTGAGCATTAACCGGTTAACCGGGGGTTTTTACCGGTTAAAGTCGGTTAACCAGCGGGAAATTTGAACTTGTAATTTCAAATGAAATCTTCATCTTCGATCTTGAAAGTTGAAAAAATTGGAAAAATGATATATCGGCGTTTATTTTTTACGTTCGTCAAGCTTTACGCTATTCTATGTAAGTAAGCGCGGGAAAGCAATGTGGCAGGGATTAAAGTTGCTGATTGGATGTTTGTAAGGAATTATCGGACCTATCACATGTATGAGTAGCTCACATGAAACTGACGCTTGAAAAACAAACAGATTAAAATGCAAAGTAAGCGCGGGAAAGCAATGTGGCAGGGATTAAAGTTGCTGATTGGATGTTTGTAAGGAGTTATGGGACTTATGACATGTATGAGTAGCTTACGTGAAACTGACACCATAAAACAAAACGGATTAGCATGCAAAATAAGCGCGGGAAATAACAGAATTATACACGGTCAACTAACCGCCCATAAAAACTCAGACCGGTCAAGGCATTATCCGCGGTTAACCGGTTAACCGGTTAATACTTGACACCTCTAGTGCAGAGTCTAGTTAAACTACAGAAGACGAAGCTCTCTTTTAAGAAGTGAAGTCAAACGAATGCAAAGGGTAATTTACACCATTTACCAGGATATCATATACAACAGATATATTGTTAATATAACTGTATATGTAAATAAAGTTATATTTATGTCATGTTCATCCACACATCTACACCATACTTACATGCTACTTGTAGTTTCACAGTTCTACTGACGATGGTTCCTAAACCAGCTACGGAGGCGACACATTGGTAAATGCCCTCATCCGGTCGACTGTCTCGTGAATGGACGATTTCAGAGAAAAATAACGATCCATTACTGAGCTTATATCTATAAATACAGAGCAATGCATGAATGAGTGAGAAAAATATCATGAGGTCATTATTCAAACGGGAAAAGTAGACAAATGTAGAATTATCAAGGAATAGAATAAAGGTTTGACCCCCTCACATATTCAACAAATTTTTTAAAAGTTTATATAAACAAAAGCAACACTAGTCGTTAACGAAACCATCATTTACCCCTCCCCCTCTATAACTGTTTATAATTAGACACCTACCCTTAAACATATGAAATTGAACTTACCTCCTAGTATCACCCTCAAAGTTCATAAATACACCATCTCGGATCCACTGCATTTCTGGCGTTTTAGAGCCACCATATTCTGCTGAGCAATTCAACAAGGCTGGTTGATGTTTTAAAGCTATGACATCACTTGGCTCGATGGAGAACTTGAAGTCGCTGAATGAGGCCGGTTCTTTGCTATCAGCTAAAAATATAAAAGAAACAAAAGATAAACAACTTTTTCTTCTTAAACAGAAGCCAACTGGGATATCCAACATATAATAAGGAGGTAGTAGGTTCAATTCCCCTTGAGGTAGAGTGACTTTTTCACATCAGCCCTTAGCATAAGATTTGATCCTATGTTTCAAATTAATTCATAACTTTTTCATTCTTAAATAGAAGCCCACTGGGGTGTTATATTAGAATATTGGTGTTTCTTGATAGCAGGCAGATCAGAAGAATTTAAATATGTTTTACTATGAATAGAAGCGTGATAGACTGACACAATTTCACATCATTGAATATATGCCATTAATGGTGGTATACCAGGTTAAAGTGGTAAGTAATCACTGAATACAACTCTGCTCTAATAGTAACCCTTTTTCAATAAAGCCATTCAGAAATATACATCTGCAAATAAGAACGCATTAGGGGAAAATATCAATAAACATTAATGACGGGTGTTTGTACATTCAAAATACGACACTAAACTTTTGATTACTACTTGCATACATACATATATTCAGGCTTTCAATTATAACTTGCGCAAATCACACATTCCATTTAACGTATAATAAATGAGAAAAGTTTCCCATGACGCCCTCAACAGAAGATATTTCTGAACCAATGTTTCAACAGGGAAGTATTCTGCTCATAATTATTCTTTCATCTTTTCAATAACATCAACCCAGGTATAGACGTATAGACAAAATATTTTCACTTAAAAACCACCAAACTATAAAACAGGCCAAAGATAATGCTATCCCTCCACCCAAAATTGTATTGAATACGTGACCACCATGGCATTTGGAATTGGCTCATCTGAACAAGATTGAGATTATGATGGACCCCTGTAGGTGAATTAGATAAAGTCAACCCCTAACATGATAAACATGAACCCACATGATGTAACATGTAAACACAGAAGCCATAAGCTGAAAACAAGATCTCTTATAATCATCAATCCACCTTCCGTTCATGTTTCCAATCCCATATTACCTCGGTCTTTATGTTTGAAGCGGAAATTATAGATAAAAGTGGGGAAGGGTGGACCTAACAGGAACCAGAGGGACTTTGTGAAATGCTAGATATATCTGAAAAATAAGACCTCCGATAGTAATATGTAAGGACAAGTGCCAAAGGGAAAGGACCAAAAGTTGGAATCTAGCAAGAAAAAGCAAACTTCAGTGTATTCCAGTCATAAAAAATCAACAACCATGACACAAAGTCACAGTCAGTCACAGTTACAGTCACAGTCAGTCACAGTTACAGTCACAGTCAGTCAAAGTTACAGTCACAGTCAGTCTCATTCAGTATAATCTGATATTAAATATTGTTCCAACGTCATAATTTTCTGTACTATCATTAATCTTAGATTCCCATATCTTATTTTTGGAACAAACTATATAAACATCTAAATCTAAATATATTACTTCAGAGCCAAATATAATTTCAAAGATATCAACAGCATACTGAATTCTTTATTGGATCAAGTTCACCTCGATATCATTTTAAGAAACTAGAGAACCGTCACACTGTTTTCTCCAATTCATGCAGAACAAAGTTGAGAACCAGGAAATCGGGAATTAGAATTAGATATAGATAAGCCACCTGTACGTGTAGACACTACCCTATCAGAAACTCACACTTCTATCTTGGCTTTATCAAGAACACACTTGTCTACTTACCATGTCTATGGAACATATGTGCCCTGAGTGATAACCCCAATATGTAGACACTACCCTTGAAATTCTCTTATTCAAAATAGTGTGTTAAGTATATACCTCCCAAATTACTATTAATATATGTATCTGGATTGAAGAAAATTCCCAAATCACAAAGAAACATTTTTTTTGGAAAAGTAGATTGATGAATTTGCTAATTTGGTCTCACTTTCAAGTGAAGAAAATAATTTGTCCCATTGAATGCATTTGCTTTGAAATTCCTTCTGAACAACATAACCAAGATTTTCAAGAGAAACAGAGTAACTACCATTGCTTCAGAATGTGTTTGACGACATGAATGACATAGTTACAAATGATACAGACAAGAAGGACTGAGAGAAGGGATTGACAAAAGATACAAGACAACAAATGAAAAGGACATGTACATGAGTAGATGAGCCAATCAATGGTGTCTTTTGATATGAGACAATATCAATCAAAGCCAAGGGACTTCAGCATCAACACAACTTGAGATACAAGTGCTCACCATCTGCCTACTGAATCCAAAGTAAGATAAGACCTTCTGATCTGAGTCAATATCAGAGATCACACACACACACGACAACAACAATATTCGACATTAACACCTTTGTATATGTACTCCCCAATGATGTAAAAATATCATTTGGACCACGTGTGACAGAAATTTCATCAGCTTATTAATTGATTGTTATAACCATGGAGATGATGTCATAGTGAGAGAACAATAGACATAAGGATCGTTCAATATAATGTTTCTGTTAACGAGACTTAGACTACTCCACCCTGATGGCTTTACCTTATGTGCATGTACTTTCAAGGGCCCAAATGCAAAGTAACACAGAACGTGTCTGAAACTCAACAGGCCAAACCAACTACCATCAACACATCTTTAGACATAAGTGCTCATCATCTGGCAAATGAACCCAAGGTCAGATGCATACCTCAGACTTCAAGCACATTAAGTGGTCCACTACTGGTATGAAAGGCTGCCATGTGCGCTAATATTATGTTGGTGTATTGGGTATACTCAAGAACACCTTCAATGAGAAGTTCCCGGGTTAGTCTTCCAGGGTCAAAATACAGAAATCATGAATCCCACTAAAGAGGTAAAGTAGACCAAATATAGGGATACCCAAAGAAGATGTAGCAGAGTCACCATGCATAAAAGATTTTCTCTTGTGGCGAAGACAAGACTAAGACTTTTCTGATGGACCCACTCAACACAGCCAGATGTATGTATGGCTACCTTCTCAGCTACAACATGATTACCCAGTATAACACCAGTGTTATGACTTAAAACTGCTAGAATCACTTCATCTGCCTTTTGTTATGAAAACATGCAATACTCTTATACCGATTCATTTAGTCGCACCGTCATCGCCATCTGCTTTTTAAAGCCCAATGTCAAGTTTACTGATGGTTGCTCACAAGGCCTTACTTAACTTCTAACCTGTATTTTAACCTCTTTAAAGGGTGACGCATATCATTTAGCAAATCGAACGCTCGTTTCTGGTGTTGCTCACCGTTTAGTATAAAAGGCCCGATCCCGGAATAATACTCAAGGGTTCACAGGTTGGAGGTCGTTGTGTCAACACCTCTAACTGTTATATAGCATAAGTATATTATAGATCGTCACACATTTATAAAAAGGTGATTTTTATTTTGACAAATCAATTCCACATTTATGGGTGAAGTTTCAGGATCTTCTATTTGTGTATAATAAGGAAAAATTGGCATCTAAATTTCCCCATAACGTAATAGCACACAGCTTGGCATATGAAATATCCTACAAATGAAACAAAGCAAGACAAACCGGTTTCTAATACAAGGATTTATATTGGCTGTTGTACATGTATTCTTTGAACGCAATCGCCCTTTGGATAACGTTTTCAAAATCATTATAAACGGATTACTTTATCTCAAAGACAATTTCAATAAACTGGATTTTACAGAAGTCCCCTTATTTCTAAAAAATGGACTGATCCAGTTGATTCGCCTGGAGCCGCCATATTGTTTTTATACGGGATGCTAATCGGAACCCTTTAAGAACATGGTTTATGCAAACAGCCTGTTTATTTTCAACAGGAAGGTATTGTTCTTTGATGTGGTATGATAATTAGATGTTATTTAGTCCAAACATGAGCTGTCCCAGAAGCTAAACACATAATATTGTATAAGAGCCTTTTAATGGGCTTAAAGGGCTATATTTAGCGAAATAAAAACAACAATAAAGTTTTGATGGAAATGAAGCCAGATTTTGAAAAGAAATGTCTTGGTCTTCAGGAAGTGAATTGCTTTTCACGTCAAGGAAGACACATGACGTTTCCCTCTCATGGTACAAGATGATACGACATCAGTAACACATAACCATATATGGTTCAATAACAAAATGCATATCCTATCCTTTTTTTTATCATGCATATCTTATGCATGATAAAAAAAAGTGTATTTCCCGATCACTAATTTGTAAGAAATGACATCCTGTGTGCCAATATATCTATAATAACATGCCTATCTGTGTACAAAACTAGAGAAATTGGATATCAACGACTCTTTTGGGATGTACTAAACCCATGAGAAAAAAATCATAACAGTCATGTTTTGAAATGTAAAATATTGTAAAAAGAGTGAAATCTGCGAGGAATAAAGTAAATGAGTATGTAAATAATACTCTAGATTACATAAAAATGCCAGGGAATTAGGCAGTTCATTCAAATTTTAGACAGAAATACTTAGAATAGCGATGACTACCAGGATTTCTTTTCAGGAATGCAGTATAATGATTTGGTGCTTGCTTTTACTCTTGGAAACCAATGTTCTGATAGAAATTGCTGTAGAGGATATTTTCACCAGTCTAATGTACAGGCACAGACATCTACCAAATACCAATTCTCCATTCATCTACACGTGACAATTTTATGACGTTTTACTGCAGCAGTGCATGAGACTGAACAGTAGTTCTGGTTTCTTGAATTTCATTAAAACTATTATTTCCGAGGTTAATTCTGCATTTAAGATAACATGAAAGATTTATCTAATTCTGAGAATGTTGTGAGAGTAGACATATGTGCCAGGTACTAAAACATGCATTTCCTCAGCTATTAACTGCAAACCCTTTTAAACAGGATATAAAATCAAGTTTAATTCAGACAGAAATATCTGAAACTAAACATTTGGTTCTTCTCTCACTTCTTTCTCAAATTTTTAATGACTTTATAAACTTTGGTTTATATTATACATGTGACATTTTATGTAGTATTTCTCACCTTTCCTTTATCTTCTGAGG